TTTAGTGTTTGAACAATGCCAATGGAAACTTATCTTAACTGCCCACCAATATGCTGTTGTATTCTTCCAAAGCACATAGATGCCTTATTAGACCAGATGCACACGGGCGCATGAGGCAATATAATGTAAATTTCAAGGCCTATTTCCGCATCCAGGATACACGACTGTCACGTACAGCCGCAGGTGGCTGTATGTGGATTTAAGTTGTGACTTGAGTAAAACTATGTCTGTTTATGCAAGTAGCTCTATAGAGCCGGCCGAACGCTTGTATGAAACAGCCGGTAACCGCTGTTATCCTTCCCGGTTGGATTCTGCTAACGCGCGCCTGTGAGCAGAAAAAAAAAGTCATACATTTACGTGACCCTGCCGGGAAGGATCCATGTTCCGCCTGTAATTTTACGATGGGCGGACGGCAAGGGGTTAACACTGAGGGGGGGTTCACCGGTGCTTTCTACTGTAGTGGCAGATGAAGCATATAGAATTTCACTGGACGTGATCCCAGACCTGGATGACATGGCTGTGCGGGTGGAGCTGCACACAAAATTCAACTGATCACAAAATGCTGCATTGAGAAAGGAATTGGGGGTTTGCGGTTAAGGTTTTTGCGATTGTATGTGGCCATGCTTCATGTTGCTCCTTAAATATGGGTGTAACATGAAACATGGTGTGAAATGTGGACTAAGCCTTTGGCTGTCACATGCGCTTATCCCCAGGTATTAAGAAAAAAATGTGGTACCCGTTTATGTAGAAAGTTGGTTAGTGTTTGTTTTTAAAGTGTATGTATAGCCTTATATTTTTCTTTTATTAGTTCTGAATAGAGTAGAAAATGGTTTAAACCCGGCCTGTCTCCTGCTCGGAAGATCTCCCTTCACTTCCTGTCTTGAAGACAACAGGAAGTGAGAGAAATGCTCCCCAAAGTGAGCGGAATTCCATCCTAGACAGTGGTCACCAAAACATTTGTCCTCATTTTGAAGATTTTGTCTCACCATTTGATATCTCTAAAATGTATGTTTTAATCTAACTTTGTGTCTCGGTGACAATGGTGTAGAGCTAAGGGGTGAATTTACCATGCTGACACGCAAACAGCAAAATTAAACTTGCACTTGTCTAAGTATATCTTCAAGTATATCTGTGCTAAAACAGGATCTTTAGTTAAGTTAGCAGACCATTTATAGTTTTTTATATTATTCCATTCAGGATCTTTATCTTTTAAAAGGGAGATAATTACATTACCTCTTCTAATCGACAATGCTTGCTGGTTTTGATAGGTTCACTGAGAAAGGGAATTTGGAAGTTCTTCTTTTTACCATCCAGAGCAAAATGAGAGCAAATAATCAGAAAGTATATACTCCTAGAGAAGGAAAGCTTATATCGGATATAAACAAGGTAATTAACAATTATCACTTTTAAAGCTTGCATTTTCATCTGTTTGATGCAGTTTTTAAAAATTGCCTCGATTTTTGTTTAGTCCTGGGAACGACTGGAGAAAGCAGAGCATGAAAGAGAACTTGCTCTGCGCAATGAACTGATTCGCCAGGAAAAGCTAGAACAGTTGGCAGCCAGATTTGACCGTAAGGCAGCAATGAGAGAAACCTGGCTCAGTGAAAACCAGCGTCTTGTATCACAGGTACTTTAACTTGGTGTATATCTTAAATGTATAATAATTTAATTATATTAATTGTAGTTGACCCTTATGAAGGGTGCCATTTTAATCATGTTATTGTTACTAATAAAGCATATTTTTTTTATTTTGAAATCATGCTTGAGCTGACTTAGTTTTGTGTCTGATAAAAAAAAAAGTGGTTACAATGCTCTGATTTCAGTGGTATCAGTATATACAACCCTGAACTGATTTTTTTTTTTCTCCGTCTTTTTTTGTTAGGATAACTTCGGCTTAGATTTGGCTGCAGTTGAAGCTGCAGTACGAAAACATGAAGCAATTGAGACAGACATCATAGCATATAGTGAGCGTGTTCAAGCCGTGAATGCAGTTGCGGATGAATTGGAAGCAGAGAATTATCATGACATTCGAAGGATTTTGGCTCGCAAATGCAATGTGTCACGGTTATGGGATTACTTAAAGGAATTGGTAGCTGCCAGACGTCAGAGGCTTCTAATGAACCTAGAGTTGCAGAGGATGTTTCAAGATCTATTGTATCTCATGGACTGGACAGATGATATGAAGGTATGAACTGAGATAGACTTTCTAAAAATTGTATATGGTGTATGTTGAAGGTTGATAGCTTGCTAATGGTTTTCTCCACCCAGGGTCGTCTGCAATCTGAAGATTATGGAAAGCATCTCCATGGGGTGGAAGATTTGCTCCAAACTCATACTCTAGTGGAGGCTGATATTGCTGTGCAAGCAGAACGTGTAAAATCTGTTGGGACAGTTTCTCAGAAATTTATGGCAGATGATGAGGGTATGTTACCATGCAAAAGAAACATTAAAACTAATTAGAAAAAGTAACAACACAATCTAATGCAGTTGAAATTGTAACGGCTGAAATACAGTGCAAAATTGTATTTTCTCACTTTGTTCTAGGTTACAAACCTTGTGATCCCGAATTAGTAAGAAAGAGAGTCCAGCTTTTGGAACAGCGCTATTCAGAATTATGTGAGCTTTCTGCAGCACGGAGGTCAAAATTGGAAGAGTCCCGCCGTCTCTGGAAATTTTTCTGGGATATGGGTGAGGAGGAGGCCTGGATACGGGAACAAAGTCGCCTTCTGCTATCCGATGACCATGGAAAGGATCTCACCAGCTCGTTGAGACTACTAAGCAAACATAATGCCTTTCGAGATGAAATGAGTGGACGTTATGGGCCTTTGTGTCTAACAGTATCTGATGGTGAAAAATTGATTGCAGAGGGTCACTTCGGAGCCAGTGAGATTAAAGAAAAGATAGCAGATGTCAAAGGTCAATGGAAAGAGCTAGAAGCTCTGGCTGAAGATAGGGAATGTAGACTGAGAGAAGCCTACAGTTGTTATCAGTTCCAAGCTGATGCCAATGATGCTGAAGTCTGGATTTTGGACACCTTGCGCCTGGTTTCCACAAGTGATGTGGGCCATGATGAGTACTCCACACAGACATTAATTAAGAAACATAAGGATGTTGAAGAGGAGATACTCAACCACCGACCAGCTATTGACACTTTGCATGAACAAGCTCGCTGTCTGCCACCAGCTTACTCTCAGTCTCCTGAGGTTGATGGAAGACTCCCTGCTTTGGAACAGCGATATGAAGAACTGGTAACCCTTGCCGCCCTCCGTAAACAAGCACTTCAAGACTCCCTAGCTCTTCATAAAATGTTCAGTGAGGCTGATGCTTGTATTCTCTGGATTGATGAGAAAGAGCAATGGCTTAATGGAATGGAGATTCCTGAAAAGCTAGAAGACCTTGAAGTGGTTCAACAAAGGTAATTTTTGTGCATTCTGTATTTGTTGACTACTTGTATAATAACATTAAAATTCTATGTTGCTTAACTTGATATTTCTTTAGAGATTGTGAGAAATGGCATGTCTGTAAAGAAAAACATTAGGAGACCTGTTTCTTACAAAAAACAATTTTCTGCTCATTCAGAATAGAATGCACATTGGGTTTTAGGACTGGAATCCATCAAGCACGTGCCAAATAAAGTAAAAATAGTCTTCAGGCCCTGTATTATTAAGATATGTTTTTAAAGTTAACCTTTCCATCTGATTAAAAGTGTAGATTTCCTACAGGAATAAAAAAACAGGCTCACTTTGGTGCCTGCTCATACTTTTGAACTCTTCTCAAGACCCTGGAAATACAAAGCCCTTGGAAATGTTAATACTGACTTGCAGCAAGAAGGTCATTCTCATGTATTCTACCTTACTATTTATTATTAAATGTAAACAGCAAGCAAAGATTAAAAAAGACCACTAATACATTTCAATGAATCTCAAAAGGTATTTTTAAAAGCTACGATATACTTATGTGTGTAAGTACCTGAATCTGTCTTAATAATCAGCCTCCTGTAATCCGGCACACTTGAATTGAGGCTGGGAGAGGGAGGGCCAACATAAGGAGCCAATCAGACTCTTTAGCATTCACGTTTGCTGATCAAGAACATGCTGACAGATGGGGAGATTAATATTGCTGCTGATCTAATTTTTCAAACACAAATGTGAGGCAGCGGTTCAATATGTTATTGCGAAACCGAATACAGTGGGATTGGAGGCTAAAGAGTACATCTAAACATCTGCATGTTTTGTATTCCTTTGTACATTTTATGACTTTTTATCTGATTTTATTTTTTAGTTAAAATGGCAAAGGAATTGCAAATCAGCAGTGTCCTGGAAGCCCTGAATTTGGGGTTCTCACTGATGAAAATTTTGATGTAGCACTAAAGCCAGAGGCTCTCCCTCTGCTGACCTCAGTGCTTTACCACTGCCCACTGAGGCTGGCCATTACATTGTTGGTCCAGTGGTAGGGTGTGGCATGCTGCAGACCAAAAGTACCATCTTCAGGAAGTGAAGCACTATTTGCAAAGCAGATTTCCTCAGGTTTGGAGCTTCTGGAGCCCTTGTGAAGACACCAGAAGGTACATGCAGGCACCTTGGTAGTCAGTTTGGATGCCCGTTACTACTATAATGCTATAAACTGTGCAAAAGTTCACTTCAAGCCATTTTGCATATGTTTTTATTTTGAAGAAAAATGTAAATTTAGACCAAAAATAGGAAAGAAACGTAACCAAATTTTTCCTTATTAAAGAAAAATCCATGGAGCCTTATAAAAAGACTTTGGGACCATAGGCATACATTGCTTTGGTTTTTTGCTTTTAAGGTTTTAAAACTTTCAAGTCCTGCCCACACTGGGTCCCATAAGGTGTCTAGTACCTTTTTAAACCCTGTGCACCAACGGTTTTAGCCTTGTTTGTGTTCTTTCTTTTGTTATAATTGAGGTGTTTTTACTTATTTTCTGAAGCACACAATGTATTTTTCTATTTCTTTAAAGGTTTGATACACTGGAGGCAGAAATGAATAGCTTGGCATCCAGGATAGCATCTGTGAATGAAGTGGCTGGGCAGCTTCTCAGCACAGACCACAGAAATGAAGAAAGTATCCGAGACATGCAGAATCAGCTAAATGCTCGGTAAGGGTGTTTTTTTTTTTCCTGACTTTTGCTGCCCCTCACTGAGACAGGATTAAGACCTTTGCTGCAAGAATTTAGGGTTATCAAGCAAATTTACCTCCCTCACCCTGTGGCCTTTGTGGTCTTGCTTCCCTAACTTCTCTTATATATGCTCTCTTTTGGTACATTAAATATACCTTTTGAAAGTATTGTGTTATGTTTGCTTGCTAAGTGCAAAGCTGGAGCTAGAAATCTATAAGGTTGGGTGATTGGAAAGGTAGTACCAGTCTTCAAATGAGTTCTTACCCCTGTCTTAGACTCTGAATAAGTGCAGCTGAATAATGGGGTGAAAAATTCATAATTCCTCAGTTATTAAAGCCTAAAGACTGAATATTTATATGCATACCTAAGGTACTGTGAATGGTTCTTTTTATGCTGCTGGCAAAACCTTGTCTTTTATAAATATGTTTGGACTTTGTTCTTTTGTATTACTATTGAATATGTGCACATATTTGTTCAGTTTTGCGGTAGAAGTTTACATTTAAAAAAGAACGATGGGGTAAGTTTTTTTTTTGGGTCACAGAAGGACATATACTAACCTCCTCCTGTGACCTAAAGCTCAATATATAACAGGTATTTGCCCGCAATATACTGAGAGCGCCACAGATCCCGACAATACTGTTGAGATCCACCCAGCTACGTGAGTGACAGCTGGCTCTGCCTCTGCCAGAGCCAGCTGTGCCCACCCATTCATTCCTCCACTCAGCGCTGGAGGATCGGAGAGGGGAGGAAGAAATCCCTGCGGGGAGCAGTCACTGACTGTCCCCGCTCACTACAAGAAGACTATCCGGAAGTGAGCAGATCGGTGCACGTTTCTGCTTACTTCCCGATCGATAGGTTGAACTCAATGGACATGTGTCTTTTTCCAACCTGACTATGATAGAGCGGACCTGTGACAGCTGCTTTGTCACAGGTCGGCTCTATGAGGATGAGTGGAAATCACTCACCTCATAGTTTTCCTTTTAAGAGTGCTGTGGCATCACAGAAGCTGTACAATTTTCTGAAACTTGCTATGATTTCAGTTTTGTAATCTGCAGCGTTATTTTAAATGCAAAATGTAAAGCTGAACTCCAGCCAGATGTAAAAAGTGCTAATTAACAAAGTGTATTTGGCATCTTGTAATCAAGAACTAGGGGCTTACAATAACGGATAGGAGAGAGGCGACCTTGTCGGTCTGCTGCTGCCCCTTCATTGTCTAGTCACAGACTGGTGTAGGGTAATTACCTAACTGTATTGCTTGGCTTGCTTAAGTCAGGCTACCAACCTGGCTGTACTTCATAGCAGGGCTTTATAAGACTCTATACTGGCTGTCATTAAGCAGGTAAAAGTGTACTTAACTGGATTAATGGAGTTTAGCATTTTTCCTGGTTATGATGGTCTCTGTGCCCCCACTGAACCTGTATTTTTAATGCATAACACTTCTTTAGTTCTAATGTCTTACACTGTTGGTGAAACTGCTGCCTGCAGGAGGATTAGACACTTGCAAACAAAAAAATCTGTAGGTCATCCCAAAATAACTCCTCCTCTGCCCACCATTTTTTTCTCTAAGAAGATGGACATCTTTTCATCTCTTCTTAGAGAAGTCTAACCAATTTTGCTAGCCTTTTTTTTCCTTTTCCTTTTCTTTGATTTCTTCCATCAATATCAATTAATATTACTTCCCCAATTGCTCCTTGAGTTGGTCTCTACATGGCAGCTTTCTGAATTGGCCGTTCCTCAGCCTAACTTTGGAAATGTGGACCCGCTAGCCTGGAAGTGCCTTTCAGGCACTGGGTTCCACTTGTGGCACTTTCCATTCATACTACTGCTAAAAGTTAGCTTTAGAGTGCTTTCCAGGTCCAGATCCCTTAGCTCTTGCTTAGTGCTTGCCCCATCTCCAAAGGCTTACTTTGTTGATCAGACCGATTGGGCTGAGCACTGGGAGCCTTGTTTGATGGCTTTAAAAATTCCGGCTACCGCCAGTTTTACTGTGGAAAGGGTTATTGCCGAGGGACTGCGCAAGGTCTCCATCCACTGGGTAGAGTGCCCTGCGCCTATGCTCCGCACTCTCCCCCCCAACATTTAGCAAAAAAGAAGCATCGCCCCGCTGCTGCTCGTGCTTTTCAAAAGCGCCACATGAAGTCTGGTCCTACTTCCCTCCTACAGTGACTTTGGTCACATGTTGCCTTCTGACCCTCATCAGCCACCAGCTGCCAGGGTTTGTGACTACCTATGGCCTTGCCTTGAGCCTAGTTGCATCACTGCCACCTGGTTACAACATGCCTCTTTCTAGACTTGGAAGGGTCAGTACTGCTGCTACAGATGACTCTGGCTCTGTTTGCACTGACATCTGCAATCCAATGACCCTGTGGTTATAGGGTCTACCTCATCTGAGTTTCTTGGTTCCATCCGGGTAGTTTCCTACTCTGTCCTCGGGGGCCTCTGTTACAGTTAAACTAGACTTTGTGGCCAAATTGAACCCTATTCTTCCCAGATACCAACTGCAGGGGCTTTGAGCATGCTCTTGCACATCCCCCTGCAGAGTCAGTCTCTGATCTTTCAGGCCTTAGAACAGGCAGGGCCTACGGCTGCAGTGATCATCTCTGACTCTTGATTCAGAATCCCCATGGTCTCTCTCTGATGAGATGTTTTTGAGGCACCAGAGTCTCCTGTTACCTCAGAATTACAACAGACCATTTTGGAACTGCTTGATATAGTATGCACTACCCATTTATCTGAAAGATCAGCCTACTGTCCCCAGTCTTCGATCTATCAAAGTTCTACAGCTAAAAATACCTTTCCACTACACCCCCTATTCAAGGTATTTCTCAATGTGAACCCTGAAGGGTTCTGGACCTCAGCTGAGAGTGTTTGAATTGTTTCTCTTTGAGAGGGATTTTGCTAAACAGTGGCCTATGCCAACTGTGGATCTTCCAGTGACCAATCTTAACAGGAAAGCCATCAGACCAGTAAGTAGGTGTGCTTAGTTGCTTATCTTTAGAATTTTACTGACCAACAGTTGGAATCCCTATAAATCCCAGTTTTTCTGGACTGTTTCGGCCCTGCATCCTATGTAGACAGTGACATTACTCTGTCAAACTGTCAGTTGGGTTAGTTTCCCTTAAAAAGGATCTCTCCTCTGCCAGAATAGAATCCTGAGCCGCTGGATCAGATGTCTGTGGTCTTACAATTCAGTTATGACTTGTTAGAAGCATCTAAACTTGTGTCCCTTATTTGCCTCTTGCCTATACAGATGTGCACAGCTCTCTGGTTAAGGTGCAGGCACTTGATGCTATTTCTAAGAAGCATCTGACTCGCTTGGTCTTCAAAGCATGTCAGTAACAATGTCAGGACAGTATAGGTCTTCCAGTTTGCCTCAATGGATGAGCAAGAAATAGGACTTTTGTACCCACTGTAAATTCCTTTTCTTGGAGTATGTTGAGGGACACAGGAAGTCATATACTGTTGGGTTATACGGCTGCCTACAGTGGGAATGGACAGTAATGAACAAAGATTTGAGCGGATAATTACATTTTCCCAAATTACTTGGTAAAGTGAACTTGCCCTTTTAATGTTCATTGTGCGTGTTAACACAGCGCTGCTGTCCCGCTACCACAACATCATTACATATGAAACAATACCTATTCTGACTCAGATTGTTGTATTAGCGATTTAACCCTTGCTGAGAACTCTGTCTGGCCTGTATAAGCAGATATAATAACTGCGGACAATCCTTATCAGATAACTGAACTCGCCAAATACCTTTTCCATCCACAAAGTACTTTTATTCCGTGCATCAAGTTATAGCAGACAACAGAATACAGCAGATGAATGAATTGGCGTTATTTAAGGCGGTCAAAGATGATAATGTTTCCAAACATGCAATGCAGATTAACATGTGGTCCTGTTAGAAGCGGCCATAGCACTCAACACTGAGCAAGAAGGGGGAAATACCTCATAGATGGGAGGGAACACAGAAAACATTTGCAATAACTAGAATGGCCACAAGATGTCAGTATATGAACTTCGCCATACAATATCAATAAGCAAATTGCTTAAGGAAAATAAACTATATAAATTCTCATCTAACATTTGTATGAATATTAACTATTGTGACAGCACAAAGGCTGCTAATGACTTTTCAGGTGCATGCAACAGATACTAGCTAGTAGGGCTAAGTGCTAGGGAATGTGTAACGTGTTGTGCTCTTTGTGAATTAGTGCTGCGATTCTGCACTGTTTATGTTCAATTTTAAATTGATTGACATTTTTCCTCTGTGTGTGTTTGGACAACTGAGCCCTATGCATTGTGACTTTAAATTGTAATCCTTTTAAGTTTGAAAAAAAATACTTTTTACAGTCTTTTTTTTTTAATGTGACTACTGTATAATTACATAAAGTTTAAAACCCTTTTTAAGTTATCATTTAGCAAATTGCTGTAGCAAAAATTTTACTTTTTTTTTTTTTAATCTTTGTTTTTAAAACATAAACCCTTTTACACTTACTCATTAATCCTCTATTATCACTTGCAGTTGGAATCAGTTCCGCCAACTGGTTGGTCAGAAGAGGAATGCTCTTGACTCTGCCCTAGAAATTCAAAATTATCACTTGGACTGTAATGAGACAGTTTGCTGGATGAGAGAAAAGACCAAAGTCATAGAGTCCACACAGAGCCTGGGAAATGACCTGGCAGGAGTTACTGCTCTTCAACGCAAACTCACTGGTATGGAACGTGATCTGGAGGCCATACAAGGAAAAGTTGGGGAACTTCATTCAGAAGCAGAGAAGCTTGCTTCAGAACACCCACCAAGAGCCTCCGCTATTACTGGTCACTTATCTGAGATAGATGAGACTTGGGATGAATTAAAGGATACCATGAAACGAAGAGAAGAAACCCTAGGGGAAGCAAGCAAGTTGCAAGGATTTTTGCGTGACTTGGATGACTTCCAGAGTTGGCTGTCCCGAGCTCAAACTGCCATAGCATCTGAGGATGTCCCAGCTGACTTGGTCGAAGCAGAACGCTTGCTTGCACAGCATGAAAGCATAAAGAATGAAATTGCACGTTATGGAGCAGACTACAATGGGATTAGAGATGTTGGGGAGGAAGTAACTCGTGGTCAGACTGATGCCCAGTATATGTTTCTGCAACAGCGACTTAAGGCTCTGGATACTGGCTGGAATGAGCTGGGTCAAATGTGGGAGAATCGACATGAGCTGCTGTCCCAAGGTTACAGCTTCCAAGTGTTCCTTAGAGATACTAAACAGGTGGAGGGCTTCCTAAATAACCAGGTAAGATAAAAGTCTACACTACATTGGAGAAGCTGTTTAGGCCCATTTTTGGTTATTTGACGTGACCTAAAAAGTACTAAAGGTAACTAAAGTGCCGAATTGTCGATGTCCCTCTGTGGCTCCCTGGATTCGAGGCCAAGGCTGTACACAGGGTTTTAATTAATGTGTTTTCTGGTAATGAGCCTTGTGACGTTAGACGATCAAATGCCAGAGCCTTACCTGCCATGTAGACTCTGGCATATGAAAGATAAAATGGTTGCGAATTTAACCTTGACTTTGAGATATTGCAAGGTACGCACCATGATCCTAGGTTCTTCAGGCACTTCTAGGTGCCTGCGAATTTAAACTGTTAGCCTCTATTTAGGTCAGGTTCACTTTTGAGTTGTTAAACACTTTCTCATGTCCATAATTGCCTAACAATCTCTCACTAAAGGGAGAACTTACTGAAATGTGAATACAAATATCTAGCGAAGAGCAAATGTAGAGTATCACATATAGAAAAATAAACATAATTTCTGTATTATTATTATTATTAGATAGCGGCGACAATTTACGCAGCGCTTTACACAGTGCACATCAGTCCCTGCCCTGAAGGAGCTTACAATTTAAGGTCCCTATCTCGCATGCATACATATGAATGCCAATTAACCTTTGTCCTATGCCTTCCATTACAGAATCATTTTCAGGCATAGCTGTAGCGTTCCGAGTCTCACAAATCCTTGATGGACAAATGTGTTCCTGAGGAGCCTGTCAGCTGATTTGGCTCTCATTTAGGTAGTTTCAGTGGGCTTCAAGCTAGAGATTTGTTCTCTACCTCTGTCCCGCTTGAAGTTGTCAAGCAGTCTGTCTCTCTAGCAGACCTCCATTCTGCACTTACAGGCTGTTATAACCAAGGCATTATTTACATTGTGCCGACAGCAAAAAGGGCTTCAGGACTTCTGCTCTAAATTTGTTCCAAAACCAATAGACTATATTTGTCCCATCTTGTATCTGAAAGCCTTAAATGCCTCATTAGTCGAGAAATTCTGTATGTAATCCACCAAGTCTGTCATAGCCTCCCTTGGAGAGTTTCTAGCCTCTGCAAACATCTTTCCAGCACATCAATGCTACCACTGTTTTCATGTGGGCATGCAACACTATTAGCTTGTAGCCCTACCATTTGTCGGCCACACCCCATGTGTTCAAGGTTTTGGCCCCAGTGCTAGCATTACAATGCTCCCAGGGTATTTCCATAGTGGGATACCTAGAAGACTTCCTATTGAGGAAACAGCTCAATTGATGAACGACCATGTCATGCAAACAGTCCATATTGGTTGTCCCTGCAATGCTAAACACTACAACTGGAGAGTCAGTCAGACAATGCCACACCAGGTTAAACATAAAGCTTTATGGCATTCTGTTACTCCTAGCTCTTTCAGATTGGCCAGACCTCCTATAATCAAGGTTTACCACAAAGCTTCATGGTCACTAGCTTTACGGGCATGACTGTTGAAGCCCAGGTCTTGAAAGACGGGTCTCTTTGATTTAGTTATTCCCATCCTGTTAAAAGTCCGGAAATCTAGCTCTTGTATGATCCACCACTGTACATAAAAGGCTTCCTTTGGTGTGAAGAAAGGCATTTCCCCCAATCATCTTCCAGGACAGCAACCTGAGAGATGATTGGTTCTTCAGTCTACAGGAAACACAACAAGATAAAAAAAAAACCCTTCCACCCCCTCGTTCCTCAGTTTTTGATTGTGTTTCTTATCGTCCGGGTCAGCACAATATTTGTTATTTTCTCCCTGGACTGGATGGTCTTGAGGCCAGTGGTCCCCCTAGATCTCGGGGTTCAGTTGCTGGAAGACGTTTGTCAATCCCTAGTCTGGTGGTTGGACCCTGTAAGGTTGTCAGAGGGCAGTTATTGGAGTCAGCTACAGCCGGTAAAGGTGACCACAGACGTGAGTTCCTGGGGATGGGGGGGCTCATTCTCAGGATCTACAAATTAGAGAAGGCGGCCTCTAGAACTGCAGAACGCTTCCTCAAATTTGAGGGAACTATCGGCAGTAAAGGAAGCTTTGTGGTCCTTCCAGGGGATTCTAGAAGGACAGGAGGTTCAAGTCTTTTCAGACAATGCTACGACAGTAGCATATTTAAATAAGGGTGGTACAAAATCGCTAAAGCTGATGGAGGTGGCATCACAGATTCTGCTCTGGGCAGAGGAGCATCTTCTCTCCTTGTCAGCAGTTCACATAAACTGGCAGATTATTTGAGCAGAGCTCTGATTCATCAGGGTGGTGGGAGCTTCACTCGGATGTTTTCGCTCAGGTGGTAGAACGCTGGGGGTTACCGATGGTAGACCTTTTTGCCACAAGAAAGAACAGGAAGGTCCCAGATTATCTCTGACAAGGGAAGCAGATTGCAGGGGAATAGACGTGTTTTCTCAAAGTTGGGATCTCCCTTTGATGTAAGCTTTCCCTCATTCCCTTCCTCCCGAGTGGTGCAGAAACTTAAGTCTTTCCACTTGCAGACTCATCCTGATCACTCCCTGGTGGCCAAAGAGGATGTGGTTCCCGGTTCTACAAAGAAGATCGATTCAGAGTCCACTGTTTCCAAATCTACTCTCTCAGGGGCAAGTCGGCCATCGCAATCCCAGGTTTTTTCGATTGACTGCATGGATGTTGAGAGGAGGATCTTAATAGAGAAAGGTTGTTCTCACCAAGTCATTGAAACACTGCTTTCTAGTAGAAAGCTAGTTACGCGGAAAAATGTATAATAAGGTATGTTAGGTGTTTTCTTCATGGTGTCTGCAGAGCGAAATCAGGTTTCCATCCATCCCAGTTGTTCTAGAATTTTTTCAAGCAGGTGTGGAAAAGAAACTAGCACTTAGCACCCTGAAGGTTCAGATTCCGGCCCTTTCAGTGTTTTTGGACTTAATCTGCAAGCTTTATCAGTTGATCAGATGATTATTTAGGGCTACGGAGCGGAGCGTACAGTGCCCATCTGAGAAAATATTGTACCTCCTTGGGATCTGTCTCTGGTCTTCAAAGGAATAACTAGGGATCATTTTGAGCCTATTGAACACTCCTCACTTTAGTGGCTATCTTTTAAAAATAGATTTTTTGTTCGCTGTGACCTCTGCTAGAAGTGTGGGTGACCTTTCTGCATTATCCATCAAGGATACGCATCTTAGGGTCTTGCCAGATAGAATCATCATCAGCCCAGGTCCTTTATATCTTCCTAAAGTGGCATCTTCATTTCATAGGTTCAAGATATTGTACTTCCATCCTTTTGTGCTAATCCCAAAAACCCTGGGGAGGAAATTATTCGTACACTGGATGTTCAGAGGTGTCTTCTGAGATATCTGGAAATTACGAAGAGCTTCAGAAGAACGAGTCATTTGTCTTATTCGGGGGTGCCAAAAAGTGTTTGATGGCTTCTAGAGCTACCATATCCAGATGGATAAGACAAACTATTTCTGAGGTATACAAGAAAGAGGGAAATGTTATTCCAGAGCTTTGAAAGCTCATTCTACCAGATCACTAGCAACCTCCTGGGCAGAAAAGGCAGGTGCTTCTGTGAACCAAATTTGCAAGGCAGCCGTTTGGTCGAATTAGGACACCTTTGTAAAACATTACAGGGTTGAGGTCCTATCTCAACAGGATTTGGCATTCGGCGGAAAGGTGCTTCAAACGATTGTCCCACCTTAAGGTAGGCTTGGTATTTATATCTTGCTTATCCTCTCAGGTTGCTGTCCTGGAAGATGATTAGGGGAAATCCCCAGTTAGACTTACCGGTAACTGCATTTCCGAGAATCTTCCAGGACAGCAAGCCTACTTCCTGCCCTTATGGTATGTATGTTACTGTTAAGGTTCCCCTCGTGCACTGGTATTCTACTTTATCTCAAACTGAGGAACAAAGGGGTGGGAGAGTTTTTTTAATCTTGATTGTGTTTCCTGTGAAGAACCAATCCTCTCTCAGGTTGCTGTCCTGGAAGATTCTCGGAAACTCCGTTACCGGTAGGTCTAACTGGGTATTTGTTTCCCAGGAAACCCTTAACATGTCTGAAATTAGGTCTGGATCAGCATTTGGCCTTGAGTACCATTTTAAAGGAACAAATCTCGACCTTTGTGATCTTATTCCAGTGACCACTAGCCTCCCATTCATTGGTCGACTTTTTTGTGTTAAGGGTGTCTGTCATGTAACCACTATTGTACAACCACCTGTGATTCCGTGGGATCTGAATCTCATTCTGTTGGCACTTGTAAAACCACCTTTTGAACCCATCAGAGGGATTTCCCTTACCACTCTAACTCCCAAGGTTGCCTTCCTTGTTGTCATCACCTCTGCGAGGTGTGCTATTGTGCTGGTGACCTTGTCTTGTAAAAAAAATCTTTTCTGGTCTCACCCATGGACAAAGTGGTGCTAAACCATAGTCTTCTTCCTTTCTAAGGTGCGTTCAGCCCTTGGTCTTCTGGTCATAGGTTATTTACATTTTTACCAGGTGTTTTGTTCAAGCCTCATTTGATGCCTGCTTAAAGTGTATGGTACTTCAAGCAGCCCTTTAAGCTGCAGACTAAACTATTTGCATTAATAATACGAATAATAGTTTGTAAGCTCGTTTGGGCAGGGTCCTCCTCACCTACTGTTTTTATATGTCAATGATGCTTGTCAGTGTTTCTTGTCTAAACTAGGGATGCACCGATACTGGTATAGGTGCTGATACTGAGTATTTGGGCGAGTACTCGTACTCGCCAAAATGCTCCCGATGCCTGACCTTCCGGTATCAAGAAGCCATGCGGCAAGTCATTACACACTGCCCGGCTTCCTGATTGGCCGGAAAGCCGGCTTCATGCTCCCTCGTCACCATGAAGCTGGCTTCCCGGCTAATCAGGAAGCCGGGTGGGCGGTCATTACACGCCACCCGACTTCCTTATTGGGATTTCCACTATTGATATTCAGTATCGGTGAGTACCGAAAAACAAATATTGGTGCTCATTACCGAAAAAACGGTATCGATGCAT